TGAGCTCAAGCAATTTACCATCCTTAGCCTCCCAGAGTGCTAAGATTAAAGGCTTCAGCCACCATACCTGGCCAAAACTATTCAAATCAGATAATAGGCAATCTTGATTCTGGCAGCCAGTCATCAGCAAAATAAACCAACATCCCTCACTAGTAGTTCGGGTAGGCTTGTCAGAAGCCCAGGCTTACTTCATAGGTGATGGTATTCAAGTTCTGCTGCCCAGAATTGTGTTTATTCTTTCCACTTTCTTTACGCTGTTCTTTCAGGTCAGTTAGTAACTGGAACACCTAGGAAGAGACAAAGAAAAGATTTCTATGAATAAGTTTGAGAAATATATTTATTCCAAGGTCAATGATTTTGAGGGATAAATAAGAAAGTATAGTACCCTCCTTTTTTCCCACAGATTCATCTTCCAACTTCTGGATTTGGGCAAATATGAGTCCCCAAAGCATGTGACATTTAAAAATGTTCCTTTATCTAAATCTAATAATCCAATTCATTAATTTACTTACAGAATTTCGAATGTTTCCTTTCAATATATACCATTATCACCAATCTCCTCTCATTTCAAACATATACTGAGTATTTTCCTAAAATAATTTTTTTTTCTTTTTTAGATAGAATCTCACTCTGTCACCCTGGGTAGAGTGCTGTGGTATCATCACAGCTCATAGCAACCTCAATCTCTCGGACTCAGACAAGCCTCTTGCCTCAATGCCCTGCTACAAAACCCACTACAATGCCTACAATGCCCTGCTAGTTCTTCTATTTTATTTATTTATTCTTGAGACAGAGTCTCACTTTGTAACCCTCAGTAGAGTGCCATAGCATCATAGCTCACAAATGCCTCCAACTCTTTGGCTCAAGTTGATTCTCTTGCCTCAGCCTCCTGAGTAGCTGAGACTCCAGGTGCCCACCACAGTGCCCATCTATTTTTAGAGACAGGGTCTCGCTCTGGCTCAGCCTGGTCTCAAATCTGTGGGCTCAGGCAATCTATCCGCCTTTGCCTCCCAGACTAGGATTACAGGCATAAGCCACCGCACCCAGCCTTAGTCCTTCTGTTTTTAGTAGAGACTGCAACTCACTCTTACTCAGGCTGGTCTCGAATTCCTGAGTTCAAGCAATCTACTTGCCTCAGCCTCTCAGAGTGCTAGGATTTCAGGCATGGCCTACAATAAATATTTTTAAAAAGGATTCTGCTTTTCTAATACTAAGGTCTAGTATACCTTCTTTTCTGGAAAAGAATTATTATAAAGCAAATAATAAAATACAGCCCTCCCCCCCCCCAAGAAAAAAAGGCCAGGCATGGTGGCTCATGCACATAATCTTAGCACTTTGGGAGAATGAGGTGGAAGGGGATCATTTGAGGCTAGGAGTTTAAGAGCAGCCTTAAACTCCTCATAGCAAGACCCTGTCTCTACAAAAATTTTAAAAACTAGTTGGGTGTGGTGGTGCCTGCCTGTACTTTCTACTCAGGAAGCTAAAGTGGGAGGATAACTTGAGCTCAAGAGTTTGAATAAAACCATCTCAAAATAAAAAACTAAAAACAATCAACCAAAGGTATTTAAAAAAAAAAGAAAGCAAGCAAACTTTTCCCCAGAAGGAAAGACACATGTGCATTAATGCTGGGGGCAGGGCAAAATCGTTCCTGTTTTAGAGAATCTACTAAAGAACTGAAAAAAATACAGGTTCATACACCATTACTAGATACAATGCAACCTCTCCCTTGTCTGCTATTCCTTTCAGAAACAGTGGCATGAGACCCAATAAATGCAATTTTCTCCAACAGATAAAATACCCAAACACCTACTCAAATCCAAATTGGACAAAGAAATTCCTAAAAGCCAAAGCCTTGCCCAACAACCACTTCCTTCCTATTATGAGCAGCAACCATTTACATTGAAACTTTAGGAAGGAAAGAAGATGGCCAATTATGGTTATTCTACTACCTTCTACAAATAACACGCAATAAAAATGTAGGCCTTCTCTAATTCTTTGTGAATTTAGACTCTGACATATGGAAAACTGACAGTCAATGTATGAACTTGTCTTTCTAAACCTGGAGTTAACTTGTCAGATAGTTTAGCTAGTACCTAATAGGACCTAGGCAAAAGAAAAAAGTAGGTATGCTCAGTGCCCGTTGCTCAGTGGCTAGAGGACTGGCCACATACTTGGGGGCTGGTGGGTTCGAACCAGGCCCAGGCCTGCTAAACAACAATGACAACTACAACAAAAAAACAGCCAGGCGTTGCAGTGGGTGCCTGTAGTCCCAGCTACTTGGGAGGCTGAGGCAAGAGAATCGCTTAAGCCCAGAGTTTGAGATTACTGTAAACTGATGTCACAGCACTCTACCAAGGGTGAAATAGTGAGACTCTGTCTAAAAAAAAAAAAGAAAGAGAAAGTAGGTAAATATACTGTTATATCTTTTTTCTCACAAACCTTCTTCCTTCTTTCCCTTTCCCTAGCAACCCTACCCCTAAGCCCTCAAAATTATCTATCTGTTAATTCCTATTAAATTATTCATAATGGCAAGTCAACTAAACTCACACTTTCAAAATGAAGATGTTAATACCCACAACACTAATTGAGGATCAAAATAATAATGTACAAAAGCATTTTATAGGTAAAGGGTAGTAATTAGGAAAAGATATAAGTATTTTAACAGGAAACTTTTTGCAGGCTCTAAAATAGATGATCTAGAATCTTGGCATTTAGGGAAGATCACCTACTGTAAACTAGAATCTTCCCAGCTTCCCTGAAGTACTCTGAATAATTTACCAAGTTTAGAATATGCCAAGGTCCACCAGATGGTGCCATCTACCCTGCTTTAAAGTGGAAATCCAAATGAGTTCAGTCATTTCTAACCAAAATTAATTCAACACTCTTCAGAAGCAAATAGTAAACTATCAGAGAGGAAAATATAATAGTCCACTTCAAAGCTATTTACCTCGTAGTTACTGAGCAGTGCAGAATTGGCATCCTTCCTGCAAAACAAAAGTAAGCTAGCATCAGTCTAGGCTCTCACATAATTCTAGCCAAGATCTAGCAGTCCAGTTCAGGAATCTTGGGACCATACAATAGAACCAAGATATATCTTGAATCCTACATGGTTCAGCTAGCTATGGACAATCTAAGAGCAGACTTTGCTTTTACAGCCATAATCTATCACACGCCCATCACCAGATAGTTGATTAAGTACTATAGTTATCCCAAGTCTATATAGGTAGAATTTAAAAGAAGTCAGTCACAGGGAGAAGTTAGTTACAGGGAGAACAGGGGGACAAAATTACAAAGGGGGAGAAGGGTCCGTACACAGAATGAAGTAGAAACAACTGGAGAAACAAACCGCTCCCCTCTCTCATATCCATGTCCCCTCTCCATTGCCATCTGCCTCACATCAGCTACTGACATCTTGGGCAGTCCAGTCTTCTTAATGAATCAACAAAATGGTCAACTTAACACCGACATCACTACTGGGAATTCCAGCAAAGGTCGAGAATCCTGTCAGATGTCCACAAAATTCCAAAGGTGTTCATCTTCTATAGCAACTCAATAGATAGAGTTTGTGTGTCAGTGGTCAACAGTAACCAGTCAACCAAGACAATATGTCATCTTTCATGTGTTAAAGAATACAGTAATGTGATTCGTATTACATTATAACTGATCCATTCTCAGTATGGAAGTATTGTTTTTAGCAATCTGGAGGCAGTACAGTATAACAGTTAAGAATACAGTTTTAGGGGCTGGGTGTGGTGGCTCATGCCTGTAATCCTAGCATTCTGGGAGGGCAAGGCAGGTGGACTGCTTGAGCTCAGGAGTTCGAGACCAGCCTGAGCGAGAGCAAGAACCCATCTCTAAAAAGAATAGCCGTGTATTGTGGCAGAAGCCTGTAGTCCCAGCTACTTGGGAGGATGAGGCAAGAGAATCACTTGAGCCCAGGAGTTTGAGGTTGCTGTGAGCTATGACGCTATGGCACTCTACTGAGACTGTCTCAAAAAAACAAACAAACCTCCCTCCCCACGGTTTTGAAATCAAACAGACTTAGATTCATATTCTGCCACTTGCAAGGTGTGTGGGGTTTTGTTTTGATCTTAAGAGACACTTCAAAACACTCACTCTGTCTCATCCCTGTCTCACTCTGTTACCCAGGCTAGAGTGCAGTGGCATGATGATAGTTCATTGGAACCTCAAATTCCTGGGCTCAAGTGATCTACGGGCCTCAGCTTCCTGAGTAGCTGGGACTATAGGACTACACATAACACCACCATGCTCAGATAATTATTTTTTCTTTGTAGAGATAAAGTCCTGCCATGTTACCTAGGTTGATCCCCAACTCCTGGGGATTCTGTAAGCTCCACTTCCCAAAAAGCTAGTGTTAACATGCATAAGCCACTGTGCCCAGCCCAAGGTGTGCAAGTTAATTACTCCCTAAGCTTATCCCTCTAAAACAAAAAATAGGGCTAAACTAAAATCTAGAAGTACAGCCTGAACTCTAAAACCAGCTCCACTATACATTAGCTGTGTGAATTTGGGCAAGTTATTTAATTTCTTTATGTTTAAATTTCCTTATCTATAAAACAGCAATTTACAGTAACAACCTTGTAAGACTGTTTACAGTATTAAATTGAAACATGTATAGCACCTGTAACAAAGTGCTCATTAAATGCCATTATCATTACTACCCCCTGGGCTACTACTCCTACTACCACAGCCTCTCCCAGCTCATAAATGACTGTCATAATGAAATAAGACAACATATTTTAAAAGTTCAGCTCAGTTCTTGGTACTTATTAAGATCGCCATAAATGAAGCCTATTTTCTTTTTTTTGAGACGAGAGTTTCGCTATGTCACCCTCAGTAGAGTGCCATGGCACCACAGCTCACAGCAACCTCCAACTCTCAGTCTTAAGTGATTCTCTTACCTCAGCCTCCTAAGTAGCTGAGACTACAGGCACCCAACACAAGGCCTTGTTGTTGTTGTTTAGCAGGCCCAGGCTGGGTTCAAAACAGCTAGCCCCAGTGCATGTGGCTGGTGCCCTAACCACTAAGCTATGGGCACCAAGCCAAAGTCTATTATTTAAGATATTATTTTCACTCAGTTCTCTTTAAAAACCTTGTGATACAGGAGCTATTAGTATGATTCCTACTATATAGATGATGACACTGAGTCTCAGAGATTAAATAATTCATTCAAGATTACATAGTTAAGAAGCCTGAGGCAGGGTAGTGCCTGTGGCTCAGTGGGTAGGGCGCCAGCCCCATATACCAAGGTTTGCGGGTTTGAACCCCACCCCAGCCAAACTGCAACAAAAAAAGAGCTGGGTGTTGTGGTGGGTGCCCGTAGTCCCAGCTAGTAAGGACGCTGAGCCAAGAGAATCGCCTAAGCCCAGGAGTTGGAGGTTGCTGTGAGCTGTGATACCAAAGCACTCTAGCCAGGGTGACACAGACTCTATTGCAAAGAAAAAAAAAAGCCTGAGGCAGAATCCATTCTCAAAATGAGACTGGCTCAGCGCCTGTGGCTCAGGTGGCTAGGGTGCCAGCCACATACACCCAGGGTGGCGGGTTCAA